CTCGACAAGTCAACTCGACAAAAAAGAACGAGTCCAAGATAAAAAAGAACTTTTTAAAACTCGAAAAATGATTTTGGCAGCCATTCCAAATTTCAATAATTTGAATTTTGAATGAACGAAACGCCCGCGGATCGTACACGCATTATTGTATAGTTATCATTTAGCAAAATGTTAACTCGGAATTAGAGATAAACAAGTTTCTTGACGTCAATATTGAATTCAAATATAAAAAAGGAATAAAGAAAATACAAGACCGAAAAAACCTATACTTTGAAAATGAAGATCGAAAATTAGTAGAAAGAGCAAAACTCTTTAAGTAAATGAGCTATTTTCCTTCTAATAGAATTCATCATAAATCTGTAGGAATGTCTGGTGTGAAAATAGGAAATAGATACATAGATATGTATCTTCGATCTGATTAGCAAATAGAAATTCGAAATATCGAAATGTGCCACGGATTCTCCTGTTGTCCTGTTATCTAGGGTTCTACATTACATGAGGCAGTTAACGGTGTCGGCACAGTCATAGCGCCTTATTGGCCTGCGTCGTGTTTATGGCCTTTGATCCGGGGGGTCTATGCTAACTTTGTCAAAGRTTCCATTACTGAATGGGGTAGGGTAGCCTTTATTCACGGGCGTAACACTAAATCCCTACGGGGCTCGCAAAACTTTAATGGAATGGTTACTGCCTTTAGATGAGATTTTAGCTGTAAGTGAATCGGTAAGTAGGTCCCTAGCGTAATGTCTTTTAGGATGATGTCGCCGCACTAGCAAGGATTCATCGAGTAGTTTACTGCACTGGCAACGATCTGTTGAGTATTTGACTGCGCTGGCATTGATTCATTGAGTATTGTATTGCACTGACAATAATGTATTGAGTATGTTTTGCACTGGCAGTGATCTATAGAGTATTGTATTGCACTGACAATAATGTATTGAGTATGTTTTGCACTGGCAATGATCTATAGAGTATTGTATTGCACTGGCAATAATGTATTGAGTATGTTTTGCACTGGCAATGATCTATTGAGTATTTGACTGCACTGGTAATTTGTGATTATTGAAAACGGAGACCTGGCTCCAAGCAATTTGTGATTATTGAAAACGGAGACCTGGCTCCAAGAGAAGGCAATGATCGATTGAATATTGTATTGCACTGGCAATGACCTATTGAGTATTTGACTGCACTGGCAATTTGTGATTATTGAAAGCAGAGACCTGGCTCCAAGAGAATGGGACTTTGAAATATTGGGCGATGGCCATGTTTTGTCAATGTTGGATCACTTCTAGAAGGGTTAGGTAGAACTTGAAAGCGATGGTATATATTGTCATTATATGTCAATTGATTTCAATCATAACCTGTATATTGTGTTTATTTCATTTACAGTCGATTAAAAGCAGCCCCTGTTGGGACRCCGTTGACGAGCACCTTCGGCAGAATGTTCCCGAACTCGTAGAAGCGCTGATGGGGTCACGTGCTCGTTCTACTGCTAAATGCTATCTGAGAGAAATCAGGAAGTCCTTTAGATGGTGTCAAATCAGAAGAGTACCTTTTGTGATACCGTTTTACACGAGTATTTTAACTATGTATCTATTTGAGCTCTCCACAGATAGAAGATCTGGGAACACGATTAGCCGATGTCACGCTGCACTCAAATGGCTTCGCTGTTTCTGTCCTCTAGCAACGATGAATCCCTTGGATAATGGAATATGTAGAAGCTTGGTGGAATCTGCGAGGCGCGCCAAGAAAGCCCCAGTCAAGAAGAAAGAACATTTTTAAAAGAGGATGTCAGCAAAAATCGAACATAATCGAAATTTCGTGGCAACAGTCAAAAATTAGATTTTGCTCATACTTTCATGATTAGTAGTCCTACTGGACCTAAGAATCGAGGTATACTTTGTTTGATCAAATTACTTATATTTTTCGAGAAAATCGAGAAAATCGATTTTGCCAAAATTTATGCAAATTTCACGATMAAAAATTGGTAAAGTTTAGTGATCTCGTTTTCGCTTAAAACTACATAATATTTCTTAAAACTTTTCAAGCATGTTAAACGTTGTATGAAGTATGTTTGAGBTGRGTTTCTTTGAATTTCGTGTTTGTGTTTATGATTTATAATTTATTTTGTTGGACCCGTTGAAAATTGTCAAAAAAGTACCAACATTTTAAAGAAATGTTTAACACCTTACTACGCAAATAAACTTAGAGAAATTTACAGATTTGTAAGAACTAATAATGAGCTTTCAGATGATATGAAATTCATTTTGGGTTTTTGTGTTTAGGCCATGAAAACAGTGTGGACTTTCGAGGAATTTTTTGAAAATTTGCATAATTCAGTTCGATCAAAACAAGTGCGTAGCGTGAATAAATTAATTATTGACATTTCAGCGCTAGAGAGACAATTAAAATTTAGACTGGTTCCCAACTGGAAATATCTATTGTCTGTCTTTTTAAAAATATAAACTTGATATCATCATTGTTTTGCTATAATTTACTCATTTTCGTCTGGTGTTTCAGTGATCGCGTGACCACTGGTAGCGCTATTTTTGCATATATTAAACTATATTCATATACAGCCTTTTGCAAAAATTATGAGAATTGTTGAAATATCTAAATATCATAATATCGAGTGCATGATGGGTAATCCCGCGCGATGCCCTTAGTCCCTTGTCTTTGTAGTTTAGTTTTTTTTTTGACGACAGACTTATCCGTAGTTCTGAACATTTTCTGGATGTCAACAATGAATTATTCTAGCAAACCCGCGTATTCCGAACAATATATGGATATGGATATTATGATATTTAGATATTTCRACAATTCTCATAATTTTTGCAAAAGGCTGTATTAACTTATATATAAGGCAAAACTTAGTTGGATACGCGTGTACTTCTAGCATAGTATATATCAAAAACTTACTCATTACGTTTTTAGAGGAGTACATGATAAGTTATGATTCATCAGTTCTTGAACAGCTACATCTGCTGAGCACACATTCAAGAAGCTCTATGTACGGCTTTTTCAACCTCACATTAATAGTTGAAGTATCTAGCCCCAGTGAGTGGCATATTTCTTTGAGCATACTAATAGAAAATCCCGTCAGCTTCGACTTTTTGGATAACTGACAAAGGTTGAATGTTTCATATAGGATGGGATGCTGTAAACCTGTTGAGTTATTTACTTCTTCAGATAAGTTTTGTATATCTCTCTCATCCGTGTCTAGCTCATCTTCAAATTCTTCGTCAGTAACCTCCGCT